GGCCCTCAAAAGTTAAGCGCGTTCATCAGCGGTGAGTTTAACAACGCACATGGTGTGCAACCACATTCAGCGGTGAGTTTAACAACACTCAACTGCAGGTAAAACGGCATTCAGAGGTGAGTTTGACCAAAGCAACGCACAACTGCAGGTAAAACGTAATTAAAAGGTGAGTTTAACGCTCCAATGCGCGTGCAAGTATGCAGTTTTAAAGCGTTTTCTTATCATAGGTAAAACACTAGAGCATGCTGGATAACGTATTTCTATCGGAGGTTTGTTGATTTTAATATGCTACGATTGTGTTCAATTAATCATTTTTTAAAAATATTATTTTTACTAAATCCTCTAAATTAATAACGCTGACGTCACCGTATGGGCGATCCCAAGGTCCATTGCGATTTTCCACTGGGTAAGTAGAAGGGTTCATTAATAGAGATGGATCCTCTTCTTACATTTACACATCAAAAACGGTTGGATCAGGACAAGAAATTGTGTTTAGAAACTTTAGATTTGTAAGGTGGCCCTTTCTTATGACGAGAAATGATAGAAGACATTATAAAAATATAGCTTGAACTGCACCAAATGTGCAAGCTAGCAAAGTTAGCTAAGTTAATTGAATTCAAGTTCATTTTTGTCACATATTATCATGTAAGGTACAATCATAGGGGAATGTAAGATACATACCGAGACATACCGTGTTAGCTGTAATGCATGTCTGCGTTGGGATTCTTCTTGTGGTTGTGTGTCGTTGCTCTTTGCCCAGTGTTTTGTGCCCATTTATACACATGCTAGTCAGTGTAACTTATAACTGTGTCTATGCTATGAAAGCATAGACATGAAAATATACAACCACATTAACAAATTAAATCAGTGTTAATTAAAAGCTAGTGTTAAAAACTACTATGACTGCTGAGGGAACTTTTTGATTAAAATGATCACAGGGAAAAAGTTAAAGAAATGTGTTTCCTTGTTAATACAAGTATAATTAATAACATAAAAATATAAAAATGGCACTGATTATCAGCCAAGCTGACATTTTGAATGGTTGGTATCAATATCAGACATGAGTGTCAAGATCAGTCCATAACTAGTGAGTTATTGTATTGTGAGTTTGCAGGCAACAACCAGCCCTACAGTATTCTGGCCTAATATTACTATACGCACCCACAGACCTCCCCACCACAGCCCAAAGCATGGGCAAACTAGACCAACATTTTCTCAAGTTCTTAAACCTTTCAGTTATTTAGTATTTATGTAGTTGTATGTAGCATGATCTTCAAATCTGAATTTATTATCTTTCCCTTCTCTCAACAGGTTCCCTAGTCCCTTCATCATTTACTTCAAAACCTCAGCTTCGTTACAAAGCAAAAACAAAGGCACTTTTAAGAGCCACTTTTGTCTAGTTAATTGTTGTTAGTCTGTCTGGTTCTCTGTTGTTCTTGCTCTTTTGCTCTTCCCCCCTATCCCTTTAGTGTTGTCTTGTTTGTCCTTGTTCACCATGAGTGACAATTCCAATTTCAAACAGGTCCTTAATGAGCTTGTTGAACATTCTAAATTAAATTATGAACTCCAGATCATGGATGATTTCATCAATAAGATGCAGGGAGAACAGGAGGCAGCACCATCCACCAGCCATCAACCAGTCCAGGAGGCAGCACCATCCACCAGCCATCAACCAGTCCAGGAGGCAGCACCATCCACCAGCCATCAACCAGTCCAGGAGGCAGCACCATCCACAGCCATCAACCTGTCAGGTGGCTGAAGAGAGTGATGGAAATGTTGTCTATGACAGACCGAGATCATCCCGAAACCAAACGGGTCAGTTTTCTTTTTTCAGTCATATTACTTAAAGGAGTACTCCTGTGATTTTTCACATAGATCTAAAACGGAGATATAGATTGTTTTACCACTTGGGATTGAATACATGAATCAGTCATGTGTCTGGTATGAGATATGAGGTTTTTATTACATACTCATGATCATCCAAAGTGGTATAGACAATGAAATTGGGCCAATAAAAGTATGTATCATTGTGTGGAATAAAATGAGCTTGTCAAAATCTATGGAATTGTAATGCTGTAAAGGTTGATTTGGGTTTTATTTTCTGCTACAGCTAGTCACAGCTACAGTCGTAAGTCTAGTTCTCATACTAGGATGTTGGACAACAGCTTTGAGATAACCAACTACTGTCCCCCTGACACTGTTGGTATGTTCTTTATTTGTGTCTATTAGTTCATTATGTTTATAGATTCTAATAATTAGAATGTAAATTACATGTTTTTGCGACAGAATAACCGACAACATGTTGCACACTTTGATAGTGTAGAAAATTGTTTTTAAATATGATGTACTATTTTAACAGAGACTTTCCTTGAAGAGCTAAACCACTCACAGGGTGATGACTTGGATGATCAGGAAACGGCACCAGCACCACCACAAGCTTCCTCAGACTGGTCTACTAGAAAAAGTCTCCTCTCAGAGAGGTGGGAGAAAGAGAGACCCTGTCTGGTGAATACCATGGTGGCACAACAAAATGTGAACACTCAGATCTGCCAACAATGTGGCAGCAGTGCAGCTGCTGTCCGTTGTCGTGACTGCCGACCACAACCATTCTTTTGTGCTGATTGTGATGTCAGTATACACCGAAACCATGTGTTCCACAACAGGGATGCAACAATAGCTGGATTCTTTCAGCCATTGCCTCCAACAACCTGTGTCGTGGAGAGGGCTCTTTCCCACTGTGGTAAGCTCTATTTCTTTGAGTGTCTTATTTAGGGCTGCACAATTATTGCAATCGTAATTGCAATATGATCCAACGCAACTGCCTAATGGTAAAATCTTCAAATATCATTTGTGACATTTGACTTTTATATTCACGTCATCCTCCTTGACTGTGCAACTTCTGGTTGGTGGGTGTGCGTAGTGTGTGAAGGGGACAAAAATTCTGATTGGTGAACTTCAGTCGGTCAGTGGGTGTTAGTCTTGTACACTGGCTGTGCTTACTTATCAGGGGTGGCACAAATTAAAGAGACATTTGGAATATTGAACTGAATCAGATCATACACATTCAAAAATTGAATTGGAAATGGTAATCGCTTTATCTGTCAGAAAAAGTGCAATTATATATTGTGCAGCACTAGTCCCATTCTCAGTTTATTTAAATAACTTTACAGTATAATAGGCTTCACAGGAATGTTTTGAGTACTTTCTCTGAAACACACTTAATGACCTTTATCTTTAAAGCTTTTCAAATCATTGATAAAAAAGAAAAAGAAAATGATTGCAGAATACTTCCCAGTTAGTACATAGGATGATGCATGTCTTTAATCCCTGCATATGATGTGTCTTTCAGTGTGTATTGTGCCGTTGGAGATTCCCAAAAAAATATGTAGTTGTTCTCCGGGATCGTTGAGTGTCAACACAGGAAAAGTTGTTGCTGTGGTTACAATGAATGGTAAGAATAAAATGAACTTAAGGGAACATTCCAGATCAAGTGGCTTTAGCGTCCATATCACATTCTGGGCAAAGTGCCCATAGGGACCTGGGTTGGACTTTAGACCTGATTCCACCCCATAGGGCTCTCCCACTCGCTTCCTGCCACTTTTCATTGTCCTATTTGAATAGAAAAAAAACAAGGCAGTGCTGTTGGCTTTGTAAATGTGTCCTGATCTATTTCTATTCAAACGTTCCCTATAGTGGTCTGCGCTGGGCAGGATTTTCAGTCCTGCGCCCCCCCGTTCCCACAATATTCTGTCCCGTTCCGCAATAATGTGTTTTAGTCCCGCTCCCGCCCGCATCTATACCCTTATGTGCATCTCCCGCCTGTGAAAGACCCAGGATAGGCAGGAGGGATGTTCAGTTTTGCGTTCTGTCTCACAAAAGAGGCACTTGACAAATGAGAAAGACTGCCAGATGTCTGATTTTAAGTTTTATTAGTTCTGAATGTACTACATAGGTGATAGTAATGTAAGCTACTTTTCCTGATTTTTCCAGGACGATATGATCTCAGTATGCCTGAGATGAAATGTGGATGACTTAGTCCGTAATGACTACTGGCCCGCTACCCTTCACTTTTCCACGGTGTACGCTACAGATGTTTTTTGTTCTTATGAAGAATTGAAGATGGCAGCACCAGGACTGTCCTGCCAAGCATTCTTAAGAATGCTTGATCAACGAACTGTCCGCTTTGGCCGTGTGAGTATGAGTGGTGGGAATCACTAACAACTAGTACTAGTATTGATGTGTATCGCAGAACGACTATGGTGACATTATCAACACACTGATTATTATAATTGGAGCATGTTGATGAAATCAAAACAGTGATTCAGCTGGACTCGATACATTAATAGAACATCATCTAAGATTCAAAGTCTTTGTGTAAAAACTACCACTCAGTAAAGAATCTAAATTCATACACTAAATGTACAAAAGTATTGGAGCAATTTATCAACTCAATCACTCAAAACATTAGACCTGTGTATAAGATCAAGTAGTGATGTCACATCCTAGTCATGCAGTTTGCATTCAGAAAAAAAACAAATAGGTCCATAAAGACATTGGTTAAGTTTGGTGTGGGAGTCGAGTTTGCTGTGGTCTTTTTTGGGGGGGACTTTGGTCGTGATGTTTTTTGTCCGTGACATACAAAGAGCCAAAAGACTTCCAAAGATCCACTGGGCTGAGCGACTGCCTGTGGAGGCTCGATGCAGGAGGATTTGGTGTCACCTTTGACCTTATTAACTTTAGTTAACTTAACTGTGAATTATGTTGACATGTTTTACTGTTCTGAAACAGACTGGGAAGATCACAGCAGACAGCTTCAGAAAAAGCTTTTTAGAGTGGGAGGCTGTTAGATTTGAAGTGGATAAGATCTGCAGGGAGGAGCATTTTATCTGTCCTGCATGCACCCCAGACATGCTTGCTGTTTCTGTGGACTGAAATCGCAAGCACTACCGCTTTAAGAACGCAGCAAGGTACTTACAAAATGTGTGTAATTTGCAGTGTTGTTAAAGTAACCTTTGCTGTGTCATATTGAAGGTCAATGTGTACCTTTCTTTCAATTAGATCTGAAGAACAAGCCTTATTTGATGGCATCTTCATTGCAAAAGATGATGAAGTAGAAAGATTTGTGGATTACATTCATTCCAACACCAACCATGTAAACTTGTTGTATAATATTTCTAAAAACACGACCAATAACATTTTACAGTTGACATTGTTTGGGTGAGTCCTGACTATTTATATCAACCTTTTTCCATGTTGTAGGTCTCTGGAAGAGGTGTCTGTGGAGGGGAGTGGTCAGCTGCCAGGGAAACTTCTCAGAGATCCTCTAGTAAAATTGATGAGGAGGGACTTGAGCTTGCGGTCTGTCGACATGGAGTTTTTCTCGGCGCTCTCAACATGTTCAGGGGAGAAATATATGCTTATCCCCTCTACCTGCAGAACAAGCTGGCAAATAAGTCAATAAGCTTTTTTGCCATGGATGTAACCTGCAAGTACTGGCCCTACCTCCACAAAGTGACAAAAAGCTGCCCGGAGCTCCAGCACCTTCTGAGCATGAAACCATTCCTCTCAGTGTTTCATGCCAAAGCCCATGATTTTAAATGCGAGGTAAGAAAACATTACCATGTCATTAACCGTCCCTAAACACCTGCAAAGGTATGTTGGCAGCTTTTAAGTATTTTCTTCAATAGGTTAAATGGAGTGGAGCTTACCAGCAAGGGGCCGGATTGACACTTGGGGAGGAGGTTGAGCAGTGTAACGCCTTCCTCTCTAGGATTGCTGTGACCACAAAGCACATGTCCAAAGCAGGTAAGGTAACCACACACTGCACTACTTAGATTGAATGTGTTACAAGAAAATTGTAGCCAGTGAGGGACATGTGGTACAACACAGATTAGTGTATTTTCTTTTCTTTTTTACAGGACGTACAGACATGCTTACACTGATGGCCATGCGCTGGAATCAGCAAAAGTTTAATAACTTGGCTGCTTCACTTGCCTGCCGATATCAGAAGGTAGAGATGAGTATTGTTATTTTCTTATATTGTAAATACCTTCTATTGTATATTTTTGTAGGTATAAATTTTTATTTCATTTCCTTTTTTTGTTATTTGAAGGCCGCAAAACGCCTGGAAAGCCAACTTCAGGATCTGGAAAGCATGAAAATCCAGCTGGCAGTGACACAGGTTGAAGTTGAGGGCTGGGTCACTGATATTAAGGAGTGGGCAGAAGGTGATAGTTATACTATTATTTCAATGTCTCAGTTCTGCAGAATAATGGGAGACATGCTTCTGCAAGTAATTACTGTTTTAAAATGAAATCATACATACACTGTTTTCTTGGTCATTTACTTGTGCAGTTAAAATGCCAAATTTTAGTATGTAGTGCATGCACACTGGAAATCATGTCAAAACAAAGTGCCCTGAAAGTACCTGAATGGTGCACAGTCCAAAAGTTGGAACATTGGACATTTCGGTGACATTCAACACTTTATTTTAAGGTGTCCTTTTAAGATTGTAATTATACATTTAAATACGGAGTAATATTAATTAACTACATGTACTTACTATAGGATTAGGGTAGGATTAGGATTTGGTTGAGGGTTAGTTACATGTAATTATGCATAATTTATTGTTATTACTATTTTAAGTTCATGTAACATATGTAACAAGGACACCGTAAAATAAAGTGTTTCCGACATTTCTTGCAGTTAGCGGATCCCATCTTGGCTACGTTGTCATTTTCTTTGGTACCCTGTTACATACTTCCTATACATGCTAATAAATATGAAATGAATATTGAGACTCACCTGTCCTTCCTCCAGGAGCTTTTTTTTATAAAGAAAAAAAAAGCAGCAAAGAGGTTAAGGTAATCCTTATGACTTCCCTGTGGCGTTCTGTGTTACACTGAGACTTAGCTCGTTTCAGTTACTGCCATGAAAATGTAAGTGAAATGTTTACACTTCTTTTCTTCTCAGCAACAACGTCCCAAAAGAATGCCGATCTTGACGCGGTGACCAGTAGAATGGAGGTGCTGGTGGCCAGCATTAAAAGAAGGTCCCAGCGCCTTTACAAAGACACCGATGGCAGCAAAGGTCGGAAAGAAAGAATCGTCTTTGACATCATTCTCTCTGACGAGACAGTTTGGCCATGGCAACTTTCACATGGTGGTATGTACACAAATCTGTTGACAATTTTGTTTGATTCACATAGTAGCACAAAACCAATTATGCCTTATCCCAGATTATCTCAAATATTATTTGAAAAATAATCATACTTACAATTTACTTATTTTCCACAACTGTATCCCAGACGCTGTAGATTTGAAAATCAAGAGGAAGGCGTTTGATGTTGTGATGGCAATAAGGAGACTTGAGGAGGAGAAGAAGATTGTTCTTTCTGAGATGGCAAAGCATTGGAAATCTCTCTCCACTCGTGCAGACACACTCAAGGAGATGTCATCCCAGCTTTCCAGTGAGGCATTGCAAAGTACGTATTTAAGTAATGTGTTGTAATACTATACTCTACATTGTCATTTTTTTTCTGATAATTTTTGTTTTACTCCCATAAGGTGAGCTGTGGGCTCTAAATGAAGAAGGGATCGAGGGTTTCCTCAGCTTAACTTTGAGAAAGAAGCAAGAAGTCACCAGAATGATGAAGCATGCAAGAGACTGCTATGCTCAAGTTTTTGATCATATTCAGTGAAATCGACACTATAATCGCCCTATTTCTGATACCGTGGGGGGCAGAAATGTTCAGTAGCACCTCAATGCAGTACATGAGATCCACGGGGAGGAGTCGGATCAAGATCCAAGGGGTGGAGATGGGTAGGATTAGGGTTGGGTTTAGGGATCGGGGGCGGAGTTGGGTAGGTTTAGGTGTATGTAAGGTGGGAGGAGTTGGATCTGGATCCGACTCCTCCCCATGGATTTCATGTTCCGCAGTGAGAACCATCTCGAAATGTTGCTGTGGGGGGCCACCACGGTCAAATCAACAAAAGAGGAAACACTGTAAGTCAGATATGCTTGAATAATAGTAATTACATATCACATGTTACTTTACAACAATAATAATGAATGTAGTTATACAAACTGAAATTAATTTAAGAAACTGTTTTTCGAATAGTCGTCTTCTGTTTATGGTAGAACAAAACTATGTGCAGAAAAGTTTACAGGAAGGTGTAAATATGTGTATTTTACTATAATAATAACATAATTCCACTGATGTCATCTGCTGTGGCAAATCTGAGTTTTCTGACAGTTTTACATGGACACACAACCCCATTTTTTTCTTGCATCAACTCACCTGCTACAGATGGTCTCTGAAAGCATCCTTGACAGGACTTTCAGCTGCTTCTCATGTGCAGTGAAGGTACATAGAGGTTCAACAAATGCAAAAACTGGCCCAAAACTTGAAAATGTGACTTAATATAGACACTATAGTGGTTATTTATACACACACAAACCAATTTTTCTGAATTTGGATGTTTAATGGGAAGTTGAATTACTTCAAGACTTGCTTTAATAACTACATTTCCTGACCTAAGCACTTTGATTTGCCTTATATACTATATAAAAAAAAAACTACAGTGAGTGTTTAAAAATACAGCCTAATGGCTTGTTTGATTAATTTGGATTGTTGTACTATTGTGAAAAACCAAAAAATAAACTATAAAAAGAGAAGCATTTT